TGTGAAGAACCTGCTGCCAGCTTTGCTTTCAGTATCTCCGGGTTTGATCTGAGAAGCGTCACCTCTGTGAGATTAAAGGCTGAGATGGAAATGAAATCAAAACCGCAGCAGATCAAATTTACAGCAGGAACGTCAAACAAACTTGAAGGAAAACCGTCCGTCGGTCCTCGGAGTCGCGCTCTGGTTTCATCGGTCTCACTTCACTGAGACGACACACAAAGATGATTCACTGCTGCTTTGGTTTAAACGTGTGTGACGCTTCAGTGCAGTCAGCAAAGGCAAAAGTCATGTGACTTTGTTGGGCGCCGCTTCATTTGTTTCTCTTTGCATGAGCATCCCCATACTGGCGTCTCAGTCAACCACAGAGGAAACAAACCAACCTGATCTGAGACGGGACGTCACAAAGACCCAACAATCGATCCCCCGATTCCTGCGCTACACACTCCAACAAAGTCTTATCGTCATTAATGTCGCTCTTAGAGTTTTTTATTTAACGTTGAGGAGTTTACGCGTAAGCAGGGGGAAAGGTGTGTATGTCAGGGACTAGTTTTAGTGGCGGATTAATCCGTGTTTGTTTCTAAACCTGCAAACGAAGCTGTAGTGTTGTGTTTCACTATTTTCCTGAATCAAAAAGGGAACAAGATACAGACAGAGTTAGGTTTACTCATTAGTAAGGCTGAGGGTGGTTTCGTTTTTTTATTTGAATAAATTGTTCAGTAAAATCAGGAATTTGTTCACACACAAGAGTCTCCAAAGATGAAGAAGAAGAATAAATGGACTGATGTTTATATAGAGTGCGTTTCAACTTCATTTAAGCACTCGAGGCTCGTACTTACTACAAGATTCAGTCCCTTATTCATACAGACATACAAACATTTTTCTGTTTTATTCTAACATTCACACACTCACACTCGGGTGAAAGACTCTGAGACAGCTCTGGGTTTGCTATTGTGAACGGTGCTGTTGGAGCTACCACACAGTTAGCCCTTTTATATTTTGTAGGTGGGTGGTGAAGGGGCCTAAAATGCTCTGGTTGAAGCTGGAGTCTGATTGGAGGACAGGGTGGAGGTAGAGCAGATCGTCCACT